CTAGATGCCCGAAAGAGAAGAGGAAAACATTTAGCTTGGAAGGGTGAAGTTGGTTTTGGTTTGGCTTGGTTTCAGTGAGGATTACTCTGTTTCTTATCTACAAACAACACCCCAAGAGAAGTTCAACCAAACAGTGTTTTTGAGTACCCACACGTTGCTAAATCACGCGCCAATCGAGTTTGCACGTAAGGCCTAGGGCAACAATCGATGGGCAAGGGTTGCCTAAGTTAAGCCCCTGTTTAGAATAACAGGCTCTCCTTGAAGAAGGCATCTCCTGTGACAAGATCAAACAAAGTGCTTGTGAAGCATGGCCGCTAGTGGCAAACCCCAGACGTCAATGTCAGATCCCATCCCACACAGCTGTGACAAACAACCTAGACGCTCCAACGGTGCACAGAGGACACTGCCAAGCACGAAAGCGAGGAATTGCTTGCGGAGCCCAAGCAAGACACGGCGACCAAATCAAACAACTTGAGGCGGGAACGAAAGCATCGAGAGGGAGTCAGTACAACGAGGAGGGGGCAGCAAGACACCAGTGGAGATTGTGAGGCAACGGGAACAGCAACGAGCTCGGACACAAGCGCTGCCAAGCCACAATGGGAAGTCCGAAGCGAATGGGTTCGCAACGCGAGCCCGGCATTTGGTGCGTTTCAGCCTCGTTCGGGCCGGGCCGCAGCAGGAGCGCAAAATCGCGTTGCTGTTTTGAGGCGGGGGCATGCCTTGCAGTTGCTTTGCTTCCGGGATCAGTCCACGAAGCAGCTTTTCCACTTTGTTCCTGACCGCAGTCTTCGTCACAATGCCGGAAGCGAAGCTGGTGTTGCTCTTTGCCATTGAGTCTTGCAAGTATGTTCTCTGCTCTTTGTAGTACGCCAGGTCGAGCAACGCGGTCAAAACCGAAGAGGCGCGCGCTTCCGGAAACATGACCGGCTTGACAGAGCTTTCCGCAGAGCACTGTTGCCGCGCTCCACTCCAGTCCCCAGTCATCTGCCCGCAGCGTCTTCTGATTCAAGCACTTCAAAGTCATCGCTCCGAACGCGGTGGCCTCTGGCTGGGTGCCAGGCCTCAAAAGCGTTGTTCGGCCTCGCTGCGGCTGCCACCCACAAAGCGCAGCCTCCCGTTGCCGTTTTGGGCCGCTGCCGGGAGGCAGCAGCACAGCGCAACAGCACCCCAAGGCCCGCAACGCCCTGAAACGCACAGATTCGCAACGGGAGCCCAGCGAGTGTTGATTTAGTGCGTTTGTGACGCTCTGCCCAGTTCGAAACTCCGTGCGTTTTTTTGCTGGCTCGGGGCCTCCCGTTGCTTTTCCCTTGGAACGCGTGAGACGCACGGATTTGCCTTCGGCCTCGTTCGTGGCATTTTTGTTTGTTTGGACTTCAGAATATTCCTCACAATATTTCAGAACCATCCTCATTGTCCATCTGAAACATACCTTTCAATTTTACTACAACCGTCACCAAATTAATACAAGATTAAAACCCGAAAAAATAAGTTACATGGTACGTAAGATCTATGGGCTATAGTGTAAAGTTCCGATATGTCGTCGCGGTATTCTATCAACACAGAACTCATTCTCCATCAACCCAGAACTCATTTCCCCCAACCTTGGGAGCTTTCCCCCTGAACATTTGGAAAACATCCCCACATCGAAAGCATTCCCTGAAGCCTCCAGATCCAAGAAAATTGGGAAACATGTTCCCAAATCCCACAAAGTTAGGAGACCCTTCTCACCGCGCTCAAGCCCCTTACACTAAATTCTCACTAACGAAAGCCGGTGATCTTTGATACAAATGATTCTAATAAATACATGATGGTAGACCTTATTGCAATATCATTGCTCATTCTAAAACTGCATGGTGCGTTTCCACAATTTCTGTGCTACTTCCTTCTTCTACTCGTTGACTATGTCTGCACCTGGTGAAACTCTATTTGCCAGAAACGTCCATCGACAAATCATCATTGCCTATTATCATCGTTTTGTCTGATAAAACTTTTAGGTTGGTTTCCACCAACTTCAACACATAGGATAGTATTATTCGCCAGCTTTCTGAAACCAATTCTCCTCTCGTAGCACGGCACCCGTCCTCAATCCACACAACATGGTTTTTCATGTTTAAGCCCACCCACCATACTTTGAAAATATGCGCGTCATGATTTGTATTTATTTTACTTGCTCCTCGCTGTCAATGCTTTAGGGTCACCAGGAAACAGATTTACAAAGCAATGACTACACACACATCCACGCTTTCTACTACCAAAAGTTCCCACCACAGTCCTTACAGTTGTCTTTCAACTTACGCTGGCAAAGTTGACTGCCTCCACACTCTTTTACAGCGCGCTGTGAAGATGCCGCGCTTGCAAATTCCACTTTCACTACAGTCTTTACATTGGCTTCTGTCTTCACCGTGCTCGCAAATTCCACGTCTACTACAGTCCTTACATCTGTGTTTTCATCTTCCATGCCTTCTACCATGTTTGCACAGTTGACCACCTTTTCTGTCTACATCTTGGTTGAACTTTTCCATGCTCACAAACTTGACTACCAGCACAGTCCTTACATCTATACTTACTTGCTTTCACCACGCTGACAAATTGACTACCGCCACATTCCTCGCATGAAAGTTTTCAACTTGTCTACCACCACAACCGTTACAACGGTCTTGTCTCCTGTCCTGCTCATCGTTTATTCGAATGCAGCATACTTCCATACTTAAACCGCGTGCATTTCCTTCCAAAATATCACAATTAATAACAACATTTGTTAAACCTAATGAGGTTTGCAGTCTAACGAACCACTGGCTTTGTCCTCAAACATAGTTCGCCTGAATTCAAACTATTAGGATCTTTATTTTATGTTTGAATTTTCCATACGTACATATTTGCAATCATCCTCTTGGTGATTTTACAAATACTATTAAAGTTTGCTCTTTTGGGCTTTTGATTTGTCCCTTTTTCAACATACCAATATTTTTTACACTTGGTGTCATAATCACCGCTGGGCCTGCCAGTTCTTTTCAAGAGTCGTCGTGGGAGTGCCTTTTCAATGGATCGCCTGCTTTTATTGGCCACATGAACACGGCCGACATTTAGCCTTGACACGTTCTTTATCTAGCTATAATTCATTCAGCGGTTTAATTGTTTGACCGCATTTATCGTGTGTGATACATTCAGTCTCATTTGGTTTCTCTTGCTTCTTCTTTGGTAGCACGTTGCTGTCTTGTATACCTAACTCAAGTACTCTTTCTGTATATGTCCAACATTTTCCAGTTTATTACCAGCTCGTACTACTTGCTCTATTTCCACTACACCCTGAAATATATCTAGATGATCTGAACAGCTTCTATCCATACTAAAAATGAAGTCAGTCAATGACAAGTCTTGTTATTTACAATCGCCATTGTTTCTTCTCCGGGGGCAACGGGGCTCCTCACACTGGACGCGGGGAAAAAGCCTCGCGCCATCTTCAATGCTGATGGGTTCAAGCAATGGACAGCCTTTTCCATTCTTCGTCTATTCAGCACCAGCATGTCACAAAATATGTTCCATTCAAAATAAGTATAACATATTTTCTAGATCTCTGTGCTATTACTTTTTTCATGCATTTTATTGAACAAACTGGTGAAATCAAAAATGATTTCGCATTGGTACCTAGTTGGCCCCGCTTTTGACCTAATGATGTAGCGTGTGTGTCGTTTACAGTAGTTCCTGAGCTAATTGTAATTGTACTACCTCTCATTTATCCGGCTAAATTCTCTGGTTGTAAGACACAACGTTTACCGGACATTGTTTTATTCAAAAATGGTTGAACAAGAAAGTATCCCGCTTGCCTGAAAAGTATAAAGTCGTTATGTTTTTTGGTCTAATCGTATTGTGTCACGCTGAAACTTTGAACTGTTGTTAGTTTCTACATCTCCAAAACCTCGTTGATTTCAGAACATCGTTGAACCTGTGAAACTTGCCAAAAAGGTATCAGTGCAATTATTGCAAAATTCGTGGGAAAAGCAAAGTTTCCAAATTCTTTTCTGGCCGCCCACACTTTGACTTGCCAACCTCTGACAGGCCGGTACTGTGGTGAATGCGTGCTGTCCGGCTCGAGAGGTCATGGAGTGGGTTCACCTCCCCCACTACCCAAGTTGTCAGTCGTTCTTGCTGCGTCCCAGGCAAGCGGAGCACGACAGGTGCCTGGGACAACCCTCAGATCTCAAGCAGGACTGGATCGACACAGTTTAGGGTTAGGTTTTGTGTTGGGATCAACGCGGTTTAGGGTTTAAAGGGTTTAGGTTTTGGGTTAGGGCCAACATGGTTTATTTGGGGCTTAGGTTTTGGGTTAGGACTAACACAGTTTACAGTTCAGGTTTTGGTTTACGGTCAACACAGTTTTGGGGTTCAGGAAAGCTTCGCCGCTCTCCAACCGAAGCGTAAAATCCAGCAGCTTGCGCATGGCTTTGCCGGACAAGGAGCCGTAGCCAAGGGAAAAAAACAGCATCTCCGTAGAAGGCTTATTTTCACGGAGCGCATTCGGGCCGCGGGAGCACGCAGGCCGGGACCGCCCTAAAACACTGGCCCTGCGCAGTGATTCGGCATGTCGTCGGGGGTGTCAGCGGTGACGCGCAGGCAAGGCTCAGGTCTTGGCCATGCTGTATTCTGCTATTTTTAAAGCTTGTAGATTATGTACATTTTTTTTGTTTGAAAATCATGTCTCTAACTTATGTGATGAAAATTCAGTTGCCATTTTGAAATAATAATCTCCTTCCGTATAAATGACCCTGGTTTCAGTCCCGTTCTACTCGTGTGGTGAGATTACTGGGTAGAACCTAACAAGAGCATTGCTACGGATTTCCAGAATGCACTCATGAACCATTAGCATATAAAGTTGCACGCCCATTCTGCTGTCAGTATACGATGTTCAAATTTCCATGGCCTGTATTTTCACTATCGTGTTTAACTGTTAAGGTCCGGCAGAGCCGGATGGCGGAAGTTCCGCGCATATAACAAAAACGGTT